GAGCTTATGTACAGTAGTAGCTGTCTCCTGCAGAAGTTGAGTTCTGTGAGGTTTTTTTTGGGGGGCGGGGTGGGGGGGGAATGTCTCACGACGTGGTGGAATTGGGTCATCTGAAAGCTGATTTATTTACCTTGCTTCCAATGAAATAAATATCCATTTATCTTGAATATAACTCAAGATATTTGCAATTAAAGGAAGTGAGGTCGCCTGGTTTTAGTGGTAAAATTAGCGAGAAAATGGCCGCCAATGTTTGGTAACTCCAATAGCCAAAGAGTCCTTGAAAACAGAAAAATGATATATTTTGTGCCTTTAATCAATGTTTTTCAGTATAATTCACGTGGAAATGTGTTTTTATAAGGACATAAAAGAAGTTGAGTCAAAAATAAAAATGTGATAAAAATGTCTAAACTGGCGGAAAAATACTTGTTCTCCAATTTCTGTATTTTGACAAGCGCCTGATTTTACCACGCTGCCTCTCAAATGTTATGTCCTCCATTTGACCGACTGACCTGACCTGTCATGTGACCTGTCTTTCCCACAGACTGAGTTAAAGCTGGACGCTCCCATCAACAAGAAGTCCGAGTCGGCGCTGCGCTGTTTTAGGAGGGCGGTGGAGCTGGAGTCTGGCAGTCACAAGCTGTGGTTGGAGTACGGCTCTCTGGCCTATCAGCTCCACTCTCACGCCTCGCGGCAGCTCAAGCTCCGGGATATGTTCCCTGTGTCTGGAGAGCAAGTCTTGGTGGGTACTGTGTCTCTGGAAACTCTCTGTCTGCTGTCTCTCTCTTTCTGTCTCTCTTGATCTCTTTATCTCTCTTTTTTCTTGTTCTCTCTGTCTCTCTCACTCTCTCTCTTTCTCTCTCTCTCTCCGTCTCTCTTTATCTCTCTTTTTTTTCTTGTTATCTCTCTCTCTCTCTCTCTCTCTGTGTTCTGAGGCAATGAAATGTTGTAAAACTCTTTCTGAATAATACTACTAATAATAATGTAGATCATTTCTATAGCGCCCACTCCTGTGTGAACACAGCTCTAGACGCTTTACATAAATGCATGTACAAACAAAATTCACACACAAACACACACACACACACACACACATTACTCACACGCACATGTACACGAAATTCATCTACTTGCTTATCACACGCGCACACTCTCATCTACTTGCTTATTACTTGCGCACGCTTACACGTCGCTACAAAATTAGCACATACGTACAATAAATAGATAATAAAATAATATACACAATGCAAGAAAACGTGTAAAACTGAAGTGTGTAAAATTGAAAGCGTGTATTTTGCGGTGTGTCCCAGAACGCACAGGTGCGACGCTCGGAGATGCTGAGTCTGGCCCAGTCCAGCTACAGGCAGGCGGGCCGCTGTGAGGGGGAGAGCACGGAGGACGACTGGCTCACTCACTACATGCTGGGCAAGATGGCGGAGAAGAGGAGGGACCGGCCGTATGTCTATCTGGAGTGTTACAGACAGGTGAGGGAGGAGGAGGGAGGAGAAGAGAGGTGCCACTGACTGAAATGTCTTTAGACCATTCTCAAAGGGGGACATTAATATGCTTGTATGCACTGTAGAATTGTAAATGGGCTGATTTATCAATGTCATGCTCATACTGTGCCGAAACAACATAGGGAGAACTGCTGCTTTTTTCTTTCCTCATCCTTACTATCGTCATTTTTCCTCTACTTGTTTTGTATGTTTGTCACTCTTTTGTGAACTGCTATTTCCAGAGTGCCTTGATAGTCGAAGCAGGCTTTGTGCTGTTGAGGCTAGAGAGAGGTGAGCAGAGTAAGCCGGATTCCCCATTTGGACTTCTCTCTTGATATCCACCCCTTGGTGCTCACATGGTTTTCTCCTTTTTTCCTATAAAAAATCTATTGGGTCTTGTTCTCCCCTCCTTTTTTTTGTGGGTGAATGGACGGCGCCACTGGTAGGTCCTACTTCTTCACTTTCTCCTCTGTTGTTTCTGTCTGTCTGTCTTACTTTTTCCCAGCACTAAATGTCCCTTATTGTGTCGATGTGCTTCTCTTTACTCAAACAAACTAACGAACCTTCTTTTTTTGTGTTTGTAACACCTCTAAATTGTGTTGCAAGTGCCGTTGAACTCTTACGAAAACGTTACTAAGTGGGTGGTTGACGGGTGCTCTGGTGTGGTTTGCTCCTTCTTTCCTCTAAACAGCTATCGTCCTTATCTCTCCTCCTTCTTTTTTACGTTTGTTGTTACTTTCTTGTAACACCTCTAATCTTCGGCACTTATATGACCTTATTGTGTTGCAAGTGCCGTAAAACTCTTTACTAAAACTAAAACTAAACGTTACTAAAATAAAACCAACTCCCCCCCCCAGGCGGCCATATGTCTCCACCAGGAGGAGGCAGTCTACCCCAGGAAGATTCTGTTTGCCAGCTACCCCCCACACCTGGCCCTGGAGTCTGTGGAGGTGTTCTATCGCGTGCACGCCAGTGTGTCCAAACTGTTGTTGTCGGAGGGGGCGGCGGGGGAGGCGCTGACCGCTGAGGAGATGACCGTCCTGGAGAGGTACGTGGAGGGAGCGCTGAGTGGTCACTTCGCCCGCGGGGAGGAGAAGAGGAGGCAGGTGTGCAAGGAGGACAGGTGAGTTTGTCTGTGTGTGTGTGTGTTTATTTGTGCGTGTGTATGTGTGATGTTGGTCTGTTCTTTTATATTCTTTTTTAGTTCTGTTCTTGAGAGAATACTCTGTTTCTCTGTATCTGTATGTGTGTGTATTTGTGTGTGTGGCGTTAGTTTGTTCTTTTATATTCTATTCTAGTTCTGTTCTTGAGAGAGTGCTCTGTTTCTGTGTATGTATGTGTGTGAGTGTGTGTGTATTTGTGAGTGTGTGTTGTGTAAGTCTCTCAGTGTGTTCTTTTATATTCTATTCTTGTTCTATTTTTGAGAGAGTACTCCCCCTCCCCCTCCCCCCCCCCCCCCCCCCCAAGGGCAGTGCTATTGATCAAAAATAGAAAAAAAAGTATCCCAAAGGGAGGATATTCACATGTTCTTATGCGCAGTAGAATTGTAAATGGGCTGATTTATCAATGTCATGCTCATAATGTGCCGGAACAACATAGGTGGAACTTTTGCTTTTTCTTTTCTCTTCCTTACTATCATCATTTATCCTCTACTTCTTTTGTATGCTTGTCACTCTATTCTGAACTGCTATTTCCGGGGTGCCTTGATAGTCGAAGCAAACTTTTTGCTGTTTGGACTAGAGATGTGAGCAGAGTAAACCTGATTCCCCATTTGGACTTCTCTGTTGACATCCACCCCTTGACGCTCATATGACCTTATGCAGTTGCGAGCACTTCAAAGCCTTACTAGTGGATGGTTGGCGAGTGCTCTGGTGTGATTTGCTCCTTCTTTCCTATAAAAAACCTATCGTCCAAATCTCCCCCTCCTTCTTTTTTATGTTTGTTACTCTCTTGTAACACCTCTAATCTTCTGGCGTTCATATGACCTTATGCAGTTGCGAGCGCCATAAAACCTCTACAAAAACAAACAACAAAGCCGTACTAAAACTAAAAACTTAAAGTAGTTAAAGAGCAATCCGCCTCTGACATATTCGTGGGTGATTGGAGGGCGCCACTGGTTGGTCCTTCTTTACTTTCCCTCTGTTGTTTGTGTCTCTCTGTCTTACTGTTTCCCAGCACAAAATGACCGTGATTGTGTCAGTGAGCTTCTCTCTATCACAGACAACAGCTACGTCCTATGTGATCAAAATCATGTTGATGAGGGCATAAAACAGTTAAAGCAGGTGGTTGGTGGGTGCTCTGGTATGCTTTGCTCCTTCTTTCCTGTGAAACATCTATCGTTCTTATCTCCCCTTCTTCTTTTTTATGTTTGTTACTCTCTTGTAACACCTCTAATCTTCGGCACCTATATGACCTTATTGTGTTGCAAGTGTCGTAAAACACTTACTAAATTAAAACAGTTTAAAAATGTTTTTTTTTGTTTAAATTTCAGAGAGAGCAGCACTACCACAAGCACTAAACCCCCCACCACCGCCAGCAGCACTAGCGGCATCACCACCACCACCACCTCAACCACCACCAGGGCTGTCAGATTAGACAAACCGGTCTACCACAAAACCACGCCGGACCACGACTATTCCCGACACAAGAGCACCAGCGACTCTCAGTCCTCGGACCAGACAGACGACACAATCAGCCGAACACCGGCCGGGCCGCCACCGCAGGAGTCGTCTACCCTTGCCGGTACATCAACAGCACCGGCGGGGCTCGTGCCATCGGAACAACAGATTAAATCGGAGGAGGAGGAGGTGGTTAAAGAGGGAGAGAGGAAACCTATGGTTCAATTGTTGTTTGAGTCAGAAGTGAAGCCACTCATCCCAGGGGTGGCAGCACACGGGGAAGGGATGGATGGAGTGGAGGAAAAGATGGATGGAGTGAAGGAAGACGTGGAGGAACTGAAGGAAGATGTGAATAAAGGGAAAGAAAAAATGGATGGAGAGAAAGATAAGATGGATGTGGATGTGGCGGATAACTTTGATGGAGGGAAGGAAAATGTGGATGAGGTGAAGGAAAACGTGGCGGGAGAGAGTGAAAAGACGGACGGAGAGAAAGAAAAGATGGACGTGGAGGACAGGAGCAGACTTGGGAGTCAGACGGAGAGCTCCGAGGACGAAGCGGGCTGGACTTCCTGTGGAGGGAATGAGGCCGATCTAGAATCTGACGCCATGGAGGTGGTGGGGGAGGAGAAGGTGGGGTGGTCGCAGGGCGGGGAGAGAGACCCTCTGTCTGTCGTCTCTTCGCCTTCCTCGCAAGACTCTGTTGGACATCTTGCGGGAAGGAGTCAGGCTGCGCGAGGGATCGGCACTACTGCTGCTGAGGGAGCCGTGGTGGACGTGATGGAAGTTCACGCCGAGGAGAAATCTGAGCCGCGGACTGACCGGCTGATGGGCGTGCGGACAGAGAAAGCTGTGGACACACAGACAGACACACGGACAGACACGCAGACAGATTCGCAGACAGACCCTGGCACGCCCACAGCCGTGTGGAGTGACCGGAGCGTGCTGGAGAGTGACGGATTCTCCCCGCACACCGACTGTGAGAACGTGATGGAGGTAGACAACGCTCCCCCACACACTGACACACGTCCTGACACGCACACTGACGCACGCCCTGACACTAAAACGGACACACAGACAGACACACGGACCCACACAACAACCAACCCTCCATCGTACACAAGTACCTCAGGGCTACCCAGGAGGGAGGAAGTCTCTACAGCTGCCACGGAGGAAGGTGTCGTGGAGGGAAAGACGACTGAGGAGAACCGGCTCAAGAGTGCGGCAGATGTCCAGATTGGGGACGCGGGTTTGGAGAAAGTGGAGGCTGGCTGCCACGTGGAGAAGTGGGAGGTGGAAGATCGGGAAAAACCTGTGCTTGGTGGGGGGGAGAGAGAAGTGAGAGGGGAGAGAGAGGCCAGAGAGGAGAGAGTGGAAGGAAAGAAGAGAGTGGAAGGAGAGAAGAGAGAGGCAGAAGAGACGAGCGGTCCCTCCGGCCCAGAAGCGGGTAGAGGAGACGCGTCCTTCCAACCCGCGTCTGATCCCCTGCGCCAACGCGAGAACAGGTCTCCTGAACCTTCTTCTACCATGGAACATTCCGGAGCCCCAGCTGTGTCGGACGTGCAGCTGTCCCCGGCTGTGAGACGCAGGCGGCTGATGGACCGCTGCATCGAGGGTATCCAGCTGTGTGCCGCCAGGTTTTCCTCCCATTACAAGTCCCTCTACAGATTGGCCTACATCTACTCCCACTCCGCAGACCACAAGGTAAATGGGCGCTTTTAAGCACAAGGGGGCTATCCCGATAAATGTTGTTTTGAAAAATTCAAAGTTAAAATTTTTGGATCCTTATTCAGTTTCTTTAAAAAACAAGGAGAGTTTTCTCTAAAACCAAACAAGTATGCACACCAATGAAACCAAACTTCTCCTATAGGTAGGGCAACACCAACTTTTGGTGCAGGTCAAGATTTCTGGAAGCCCCTGAAATCTGGGTTAGCCCGCTTGTCCTTAAAAGCCACCAAATTGCTTCTGCAGTCTGCAGCCTCGGATTTCACTCTGTACCATTCTCTCTCTTGTATTTTGAAGTCCGCGATAAGTTTGAAAGCTTCAAAATACCCCGCGATAGGTTTAAAAGCTTTAAAATAAAGTGCAGACGTCTGCTAAAAAGGAAAGACAATTTATTTTCAACATTTTGTACTTTTTTTTGTTAAGATCAGGCAGTTATTAATTTTTTTAGTAACTCTGCAGCTGCACGGGTAATGAAAGAGCCCAAGAATTCTAAAAATGGAATAAAGTTGACCTCTTTTTTTTCCTTTCTTCTTCCTTCTACTTTTCCCTTCTTCTATTCTTCATAGACAGTGCAAAATCTTGCCAATATGTTTTGTTTTTGAGCACGTAATCAACTGCTTGCATTGTAAGGTGAACACCTTAACCTCTAGGCCACAAGAGCCCCCGTGGGTGGCTGGAGGGTACCACTGGTAAGTCTTTTTTTTTTCTTTTCTTTTTTTTTTTTCCCTTTTTTCTTTCTATCTTACTTATTCCCAGCACTATGTGACAATTATTGTGTCAGTGTGCTCCTCTTCACTCAAACTCAAACCTCTGATGTAATTTTCCTCCCCCCAGAATTTACAGTTCGCCAGAGACCTTCTGTTGGGTTGCCCAGATTGGCAGGAACAAAAGCACATGCCGGCTTCTGGTCTGTTCTATGAGCGAAAGCTGAACAATTTCTTCCAGGTATTTTTTTACAAAGGGCTATTGTGAGGCATTGTGGTGGAATCAGGCGCTTGTCAAAATAATGAAATCGAAGAAACTGGCATTTTTCCACCAGTTTGGAAATTTTTTTTTAATACTACTAATGGATCCTACGTGGCAATTTTTATTGAATTTTTGTTTTTTGGCTCGACCTCTTTTGTGTCCATGATTAAAGACACAAAATATGTAACTATTGTTTTCAAGGACTCCCAAGCTATAGAAATTATAAATGACCCCACCTTCTTCAATCGTAGATATCTCTACATCTATTTAAGACAGATGGGTATTTTTTTCGTTGAAAGCAAGGCAAATAAATAAGCTTTCAGATAATACCACTTGCCCAAAAATTGACGAACGCCTCATTCCACCACGCCGTGACCCAATTTGTTCCAGATAATTTTGCGCAGATCAAGTACAATTCCTTTCATTTATTTTTGCATAGGGCAATTTCTTTCAGGTATTATTGCACAGAACAATTTCTTTCAGGTATTCCATAGAACAACTTGACCAACATCTGTTACCCCCCGGGGCAGTGCCACTGACTGTAGTGTCTTTAGGCCATTCCCAAAGGGGGGACATTTCTCGTTCAAGCATAGTAGAATTGTAAATGGGCTGACTTATGTCACGCTCATAACTGTGCCTGATCTACAACAGGGAATTGCTGCTTTTTCTCTCCTGATCCTTACAATTGTCGTTTCCTGTTTGTGTGTTTGTCACTCTCTTGTGACCCGATATTTCCGGGGTGCCTCGATAGTCGAAGCAGACTTTGTGCTGTTGAAGCTAGAGAGGTGAGTAGGGTAAGTCTGATTCCCTGTAAAGACTTCTCTGTTGACACCCGCCCCTTGGCGCTCATATGACCTTATGCAGTTGTGAGCGCCGTAAAACCCTCTACTATAAAAAATATTTTTAAAAACGTCTGTGGTGTATGATGAAATAAATGAAGGATCACCAGTTATTTGGAGGTTTTGTCTTAAGTTTTTGAGTTTGTTTCCTAGTGCTTTCTGGAATTTCCTCCCTGTGGTTGGAGGGCCCTACTGGTAGATCCTACTTCTTTACTTTCACTTTGTTATTTCTGTCAATCTGTGAATGTTGACAAGACCAAGAGGATGCCAACCATATCCTTCAGCACTGCCCACGCTACACCACCCTTCGAACACAGACGTGGCAGAATGTGACTCCCCTTGAGAGAAAGCTCTGTGGCAGTCTCTCAGAGTTGAAGCAGACTGCACAGTTTGTGCGCGACATCGGGCTGACTGTCTAGCTGCTGTCATCGAAAACGAGGAAGAAGAAAGTTATTTCTGTGTGTCTGTCTTTTATTGTTTTCTCCTGCACTCAGTGACAGTTATTGCGCCTAAGTGTTTCTCTTTACCCGCACAAACGGACTGGAGGGTTTGTCCGTCTTTGAGTTGGAATCTCCTCCGATGTTGTCTGGAGATGTGTGGAACTTTGTGTGGAAGTTAAGTAAGTTGAGTTTGCATTCCAGTAATGTTGTTTTGAGGTTTTGTGATGTGTGTCAAGGGGAGGCTTAAAACATTCATTTGATTGGCGGGTGCTCTGGTGTGGTTTGCTCCTTCTTTCCTGTCAAACATCTATCGTCCTTATCTCTCCTCCTTTTTTGTGTTTGTTACTCTCTTGTAACACATCTTCCCCCCGGGGCAGTGCCACTGACTGTAGTGTCTTTATGCCATTCCCAAAGGGGGGACATTTCTCGTTCATGCACAGTAGAATTGTAAATGGGCTGATTCATGTCAGGCTCATAACTGTGCCTGATCTACAACAGGGAACTGCTGCTTTTTCTTTCCTAATCCTTGTATTGTCATTTTCCCTTTACTTCTTTTGTATGTTTGTCACTCTTGTGACCTGCTATTTCTGGGGTGCCTTTATAGTCGAAGCAGACCTTGTGCTGTTGAAGCTAGAGAGGTGAGCAGAGTAAGTCTGATTCCCTGTAAAGACTTCTCTGTTGACACCCACCCCTTGGCACTCTTATGATCTTTTGCAGTTGTGAGCGCCGTAAAACCCTCTACTATAATTTTTTTAAAATAATAATTGTAACACATCTGTTCTTCGGCATTTATATGACCTTATTGTGTTGCAAGTGCTGTAAAACTCTTACTAAAACATTTTTTTTAAAACCATTAATTACTATACAATTTTTTTTGTTTACAAGTTCTGTGAATTTGTATTTCCTCTCGTGTGATCCCAGGGCCTGTGGAAAATCCCGATAGACGACATCGATCGCTCCGGCTGCTTCGCTTCGCACGTCCTTCGCTCGGTGAGGCTTCTCATGGAGGTCCTGGCACAGTTGGGAGACATCGACACGCTCAAACATCTCAGACAGCAGCTCAGGCGAACGCCCGACGCCGGGAAGTGAGTTCTCCCCAGAATTTGTGGCGGTGGTCATCTTATCGTGACCGTAGTGCTTTCTTGTCACATCTCCATTTTTTTAACAGTGAAAATGTGACTTCTTCTTAAGCTCACTCTTTATTATGAACTGTCTTCACTGTTATTAAAAATCGAGGTACGCGTTATAGTTAGGCAACAGGGCTTGTTATCGAGAGATTGTAGCCTTGATCGTTTTATGGTTAGGCTACTGGGCTAAATGACCATGATTGTGTGGATGTGCTTCTCTTTACTCAAACAAATAAAACAAACTCTGTGGGTGGTTGGCGGGTGCTGTGGTGTGGTTTGCTCCTTCTTTCCTATCGTCCTGGTCTCTCGTCCTTTTTTTTTGTGTTTGTTACTCTCCTGTAACCCCTCTAATCTTGAGCACGAGTTTATATGACCTTATTGTGTTGCAAGTGCCGTAAAATGTCTACTAAAACAAAACCGCATTAAACACTTAAATTGTGGTCTTTTATTTTCCTTCAGCTCTTTCTGTCTGTCTGTCTGACATTTTCCCGACACTTAACGACCATGATTGTGTGGATGTGCTTGTCTTTACTCAAACAAATAAAACAAACTCTGTCTGTGGGTGGTTGGCGGGTGCTCTGGTGTGGTTAGCTCCTTTTTTCCTATGAAACACCTGTCGTCCTGATCTCTCCTCCTTTTTTTTATGTTTGTTACTCCCTTGTAACACCTCTAATCTTCGGCACTTATATGACCTTATTGTGTTGCAAGTGCCATAAAACTCTTATGAAAAAAAAAACCCAAACTGTTACTAAAACTAAAAGACATTTTCCCAGCACTAAACGACCATGATTGTGTGGATGTGCTTCTCTGTCCTCAAAGAAATTTAAAAATTCCTGTCTATGTGTCTGCCACAGGAAATATCTCCGTGATGCCGAGCGCCTGATCCTGGCGGAGGAAGCGTTCCTCCAGTGTCTGAGCATACTGCAGGGCGGCATGGACCGCAGTGACCAGTGGTCAGAGGGGGAGCGCGAGGAGAACCTGGCCCGCGTCTACCGCGTCTGGCTGTCGGGGAAGGGAGGGAAGCACGGGCCGGAGGCCACCGCCGCGCTGCACAGAGCCTTCCGGACCATGATGAAGGGCAGGGTGAGTCACTCTTGAGTTGTGTAGGATGAAGGGGAGGGGGAGTGACTCATGAGTTGTGTAAGATGAAGGGGAGGGTGAGTGACTCATGAGTTGTGTAGGATGAAGGGGAGGGGGAGTGACTCATGAGTTGTGTAAGATGAAGGGGAGGGTGAGTGGCTCATGAGTTGTGTAGGATGAAGGGGAGGGTGAGTGACTCGTGAGTTGTGTAGGATGAAGGGGAGGGTGAGTGACTCATGAGTTGTGTAGGATGAAGGGGAGGGTGAGTGGCTAACAAGTCGTTCTGGATGTGTGTGTGTGTGTGTGAGGGGTGGGGTGTTGTACTTCAAATGTTTAACACTTTGCAGTCACACAGCCAGCAGTACAAAATACCCTCTCTGGTCATCCAGCCAGGAGAGTGTCTGCAACGGACTTCTCAGGCCAGGTGCAGAACTGCCCCAGGTGACCGGAAGGGATAATTTTCACCGTCGCATTATTGCGCCAAGTGACCACAAAGCGTTAACTCATAACCCAACCACTGTTCTGAAAACAATTTCCCCAGCACGAGAAAAGAGAACTTAAAGCAGCAAAAGAAAAACTGCTGCACTTTTTTTCTGGATGTCTCCAAAAACTACCAAACACCTCAAAGATAAACTAGAAAGCAATAAAGTACACTGTAGATTGATGTTGAGCAAGGTGGGCTTGGTCACGAGTTTGTGAAAAGTCCTTCAGCCTCCCGTGTTGTGACAGCCAGTGTGTGTGTGTGTGTGTGCTGTGTACTCATTACGTACCGCCTTCTGGGTGGTTGGAAGGTGCTACTTGTAGATTTTTTTTTAAATGATGTAAAGTTGGACAACAATCATTATTTGTCTCTGTCTGTCTGTCTTGTTTGTCTGTCTGTCTGTCACTTTTTTCCCAGCAGGAAAATGTCCATTTCTGTGTGGTCATGTGCTTCTCTTTACTCAAACAAACTTTTTGTGGGTGGTTGACGGGTGCTCTGGTGTGGTTCGTTCCTTCTTTTCTATCAAATATCTGTCGTCTTTATCTCCCCTCCTTTTTTGTGTTTGTTACTCTCTTGTGACACCTCTAATCTTCGGCACTTATATGGCCTTATAGTATTGCAAGTGCCGTAAAACCCTTCTTCCGGGGAAAAAAAAAACAACTTATCTCTCTCCCCAGACGGATGTGAACCGACTGACGGCCGAGCAGGCAATCCTCTACTGTCAGCAGAACCTGGCTAAGGCAGCCACAGCACCGGTGAGTCTGGGGGTCACAGGGTTACCCACTCATAGTCTGGGGGTCACAGGGGTCGTGTGTGGGGTTACAGTCAGAGGGGTTTAGTCAGTCACAGGGTTATACACTCACTCACAGGGTTTGATGGTGGAGGGGGGGGTCATGGGGTTTAACGGGGGAAGGGGGAGGGTCACATGGATGGTGGGGTCACCGAG